CGGCAGGCTGGAGAGACAGAACGTGCCGCTGCCCTGCGGTTTGGCCTGTGGGCCGACGGTCGTCCACACGGCGCCACCGCAGGGCAGAGCTGTGCGCACAGTCACACACGTACCCGGCGGACACGTGCCACGCGTGTGTCCCCGCGTGCCCACACGCTCACACATCCGCGCACACACGGCACCCTCGTCCCGAGTTTACGGGAAACTCAACACCCCGGGGCAAAGCCCCGAGCAGGACGGGCCAGGCAGAGACGGGCCGGGCCCTGAGTCACAGTGTCCTCAAGGACGGAGGACGAGGACGAGGGCCGATGACGCAGAGGGGTGAGGAGAGACAGCGCTGAAAACGCGAACGGAGAGGTTCGAACGGGAGATTCCTAAGTGAGGATTCATCCCGTAAGCGTAGTGAAGACAGCGGACTCTCTGTGCATCTGCAGGAGGCTAGGACGGCAGTGACCTCCACGTGTTGAGGGATGATGCTCAAATTTCACATCCAGCAAAACTGTCACCGAAGTGAACGGGCCACAGACATTCCGAGGCCCGCGGAGTCTGGGATGGTCCCCCAGAAGACCCTCCGAGGGCCTGGGTCAGGCAGGTTCTGCAGAAGGGGGACCAGCCGGAAGCCCGACCTCTCCCACGGAAGAACCATGGGAAGTCACACCCTAGCGCGGCTGGCCCTCGGCTGCATAGCAAAGCCTCCCCACACAGATCACGCCTGTCGCAAACGAAAACTCCCGATGGTTCCACGGGCCGGGCCGGGGCGGGCAGTGCTGGCGGAAACAGGAAGCCGGAGCCGGCCAGGCGGTAACTGGGCAGCACCACGGAGCACGGAGCACGGGGAGCTGGGGAGGCGGGGAAGCTGCGCTGGGGAAGGGCTAGTGTTTTCGGCAAACGCTTGAAAAGAACTAGAGGTTGAATCAGAAAGACTCGCACGCAGAACTCAGGCGCTTAGTTTCCCAGAGGGAGGCACACCACGCTCTGCCGGGGAGCCGGCTCGGGCCAGGACGCAGAGGGCACGAGGGGACAGCCAGGCGGGGCAGGGTGGCCCGTCGGGATAATTCTGGTGGGCCTCGGGCACGGGGGCTGTCCCCCGTCGCCTGGCCCTGCTGATTTAGGGCAGGACATCCCGGCTTGGTGTGTGAGCGTTAGCTGGGGGGGGGCACGGGCTGTCTGCACGTCACGGGCGTGTCCGGGGAGCTGTCAACCACCCCGGGGAGGAGCAGTGTCTGTGCCGCTCCCAAGATGTCGAAACGTCACAAGGTACAGAGAATAAAAACGTGGTCAGTTCGAAGAGAAATGTGGACACAGACGCACGAAGGCCTGACGTTCCGAGCACGAAGGTCGCTGTCGGGACGGAGAAGCGGCCGAGCTCCCGCCGTCCAGACAGACAAGGGTCAGGCATCGAGATGGGGGCAATCCCTGGCCCTGCCTGTCACCGCCGAGTCTCGGCCGCTGCCGGCGGAGCGGGGCCGGAGCGTGCGC